GCTTGAGAGAGAGTGGAAAATAAAACAGACAACAGACATGGTCCCTGCCCCCAGGGAGCTTGCATTCTGGTGGGAGAGACAATAAAAATGTCAATGAAACTCTGATAGGAGATCAACTGGGATAGGATCAGAGCTCTTGAGGACAAGAAAATAGAGGCTGTGAAAGAATGTGGTGTGGGAGAGGGGTTGCTCTAGAGGAAGACCTCAGAGGCAGTCTCTCTGAGGAAGAAACATCTGAGCTCAAACCGAAGGAATAGGAGTGCCCCATGAAGGGCCGGCAGCAGAGCTTTCCAGACGGTTGGTGCATAGGGAAGGGACCTCCTGAGGTTTGGCCTGAGATTCTGAAGAGGCCGGCTCGTGTAATGTAACAGAGCTGGAGCCTGTCAGTCTTGCTCTGCCACTCAACTTGCTGTGCAATCTCCGCAAATCTCTTGCCCTCTCTGGGCTTTGTTTCATTATCAGAACACTGAGAGAAGGTCTGAAAACGGTCTCTCGGAGCCTTTGCAACTATGACAACCCAGGAGTATCTGACTGGACACTTGCAAAGCCCATGCTGTGCTCTCCCAAGCTTTTGAGTCCGAAAGGATAAAAGACCGAGGGACAGAGTCCACCAAGGCAGTGTCCTCTGGGGCAAAGGGGATACGCACTGAGGCTCTAAGGCTCTGACAGCTTTGCTGCTGCAAAATGAAGACGTTCTCCTGTCTCCCATCCTTGTCTACAGGAACAAAACAAGGTGGCAAAAACCCAGACAGAGTACTCCGCCTAGCTGTCGGCCGCCCTCCGACTGGCTGCAACCTTGGAAATAAATGGTCCCATCAGCTCCGAGGAGGGTGAGCTCAGGATTTCAGATGAAAATGAAGTAAGAGGGAACGCAGCCCAGAAGCAATGCAAAGTAACGACAAGGGCACTAAAATCTTCCACTGCAGAAAGATGGATGCAGAGAGCGGTGCAACGGGGCACTGACCTCAGATGTGGGGACACTGGAGGAATGAGCTCACGCCCCAGGGCCGGCTGGCGGGGCCTGCGTTTCTGGGATCCAGGGGCTGTCTGAGGGGACCTGGGCTGGGCTGACAGGGCCCCTGCCCCACCCCCACCCCATCCTCCTCTCGGTAAAGCCTTATCCTCCTGCATTTCTCCAGATCAAAGAGCCTCCAGGAACTGACCTGCAGGGCTGGCTAACTCCAACCCTGTGCCAGGGAAAGGAGCCTCAAAGCTGACAGCCTCCCAGCAGAAGGCCTGCAGGTTCCAATCCCAGGAAAGGAGGCAACATAGAGAAGACAGTGATTTTTAAAACCCATCATCTACCGGCGCCTCCAGTCCTGCTAAGCTCGAGGTTCCAGGGTCATCTGTGGACACTGTTTTCTGGCCGTGTCATCCTGAGCAAGTTACTTACCCGTTCCCTTGCCTCTAAAGTGGGGGAAACAATAGTACTGACCACACAGGGTTATTATGAGAATTCAATGTAAAAATCTGAGTACAGTTTCTGGCACATAGTAAGTGCCCTCAATAAGTTAGTTTACTTTAATTTTTACATTGTTTTGTAGTCACGTTAACTATGTCTCTATATGTACAGGTAAAGCAACACAGTACCAGTCAAGTTTAACGCCCATCTTAGCTCACTGATACTAAGAATCTACAGCCTGCATTCATAGCAAACAACCTCCTGACTCTCCCCTCCCCCATCAACCCAACGCTCTTTAGCAATGACACCCAGCCTCCCTCTGAGCCTTCCTAAGCCTCTGCCAGTGCACAGCGCTCTGATGAACTGTCCCTCCTCTGAGAGGAAAAGACATTTGAAAGCAAGGGTTAAAATCTCAAATGCCTACAGGGGCCAGGAAGGTAAAACAGATGAGTAAAGGGAGCCCAGCGTTAGACATCAAGGAGTAGTGAGGACTGTGGCAAACTAGAGAACCCAGGTCCCATCTGAAGGAAAAAGCTGCTACCAGCTCTAGCCAATTTTTGCCAGGGAGGAAGGCAGGTCCAGAGTTGGCGCATCTTTTAGTTTTCCAGGGAAGCCAGCAATCCAGATTTTTATGTGAGATCTCCTGATGTTCAAATACTGGCACGTAATTCATTATTTTTAAAATATGGAAGTCCTAGCAAGATTCATCTGTTTGTACCCACTGACTTGAGGGGCAGAGCCCTCCCAACTGTTACTGTCTGTTGGGCAATTGCCCTCTCCCTGCAAGAATCAGAATCCTGGCTAGGCTGAAGTCACAAGGAACTCGAGACAGATCTTAATAAAGCTCCAGGCAGAGCGCCTATTAGTTGATAAAGGCTTTGGAAAAGAGTGAAGGAAAGAGCCCCCTGAGGGCTGGAGCTGTGGAGGAAAGCTAAAAGAAGGAGGTGGGCTTTGAAATGGGTTTTGGGTGCTGTCGGACCAGGAAAAACTGAAGAACAAAGCACAGTCCAGAGGAGGGATGGAGGGAGATGGGGAATGAGGAGGAACTGAAAGCTCTAACTCAGAGCTTTGCCTGTTCAAGTGTGGATGCAAAATGTCACACAGCATCTCTATCCAGAGGATTCTACTAGGAAGGTGACTGTACACTGCTCTGGGATGGTGGCACCTGGAGATAGCACCAAGGATGCAGGCTCCTCCCAGGAGAAAGGACAGTGCCCAGTTCCCTGGATGTGGCCTTAGCTGGAAGTCCTCTACCCCGTGCAGACCTCGCTCAACACACGATCTGCTTACGTGCATCCTCCTTCACTACAACTAAGCTCTTCTAAAGCCAGAAATGTGACTTCTACGTGCTGGGCGTATAGAAGGTCCGCAATGAATGAGTGTCACATGATCCACTGAATGAAACCAAAGAACAAGAAGCAAGACATCAAAGAATAGGGTGCATGCCCACACTTCCAGAACTGAACATTTCCCTCAGGGAAAATGAGCAAAGGCCTCAGCGCTCACTGCACGCAGCAGCCATGAAGACCTGGTGTTTGTACAGAGAAATACCCTGCGTGGGGTGTCGGGAAAAGGACAGTGTCATCCCATAAAGACCAGAGTCAGCGAGGCTTACAACATCCCAAAGCCCCCAGGAGATAGATGCACAACCTATCAAAGCTCCAGTAGGTGTCTCGGATCATTCTAGAATTAATGTATTATAAAAATTTAAAATAAGCTAACTTATTATTTGAAGCCCTTCCCTGGATAGATGGTGCAGCTGAGAGGCTCAGGGCACCTAGGGGACTTGTGTCCAGTCACACAGCAAGTCTAGGGGCACAGGCTGGACCAGAGCTCAGCTCTCCTGACTCCCATTCCAGGACACTCTAGACTAGGAGCAGAGCTGGGACTAGGGTGAGGCAGGTGAGGCACACTCGCCCGAGAAGCAAAATGTAAGGAGGCTAAAATGCTCTGTAATCAAGGTAAGTAGCATTTTGATGCAATATTTATTTTTTGGGATGCAATATTTTTTAAAAAACAAAACCAGTGCAAAACAAATCCATGATAAGCAACACAGCAACTTTTAAAACAAAGACTTAAAGTTGTACCCTCATGTGCCTCAACCTCCTCCACTGCACCCTGATCCCAGCCTAGACTAGGAGCCCTGAAGTGACAACTGACTAAGACGCGGAGGAAATGGTTGTGTGGAAACCTATAGGAAGATCACGACAGGATCTTAGCTCCCCGACAAGGGACTGAACCTGGGCCCTCAGCAGTGAGAGCGCGGAGTCCTAACCATTGGACTGCCAGGGAACTCCCTCAACCTCTGCACTTTAGAATCACTCCGGAAACTTCAAAAATTCCCTTCCAGGGAATTCCCAGGATGTGGCTTGCTTGGGGTGTCTGAGGCACAGAAAAGCGGCAGAGTGCTGGGAGAGGTGGCAGGTGAATGCCACCCCGACCTCCATCCCCACCCCAACTTGCAGGGCAGCATTTTTCCTGCAACAAGCTGTGTGCCGGGGACACCCAGCTCGACCCCCTGCCAGGAGAGCTCAGGGAGAAAATTCCACCCGCCACCCCCCTTCCTAGACACCCGCCTCCTAACTCTAACCAATTGTCTCGTAAATCTTAGCCTTTTCACCTCCAGAGGCAGGATGGATTAAAAAGTTTGGACAGCTCTGGGTAACCCTTTCTGCCATGGAGAAACAACCCAGAACTTTATGACTTACTGACAGTGGGTTATGAATGGGAAGGAAAGCATACCCTTAAACCGCAGACTGTAACTCCCTTTTAAGGTATTTCCTTGGGGCCAGAGACGCCACATCTTCCTCCTGCCCCTGGTTCTAATAGCACCTTGTTTTTTAGTGATAAGCTTGGGCTTTTAGGTCAGCCAGGCCTGGATTCAGATCCAGTTTTGCCATTTACTGGGTGGCCCTAGACAATTTATTGAGACGAGACAATAGCAACTCATGCTTCCAGGGATCTGGGGGTAACTTAAAGGACATGATGAGGGCTGAGGGGCAAACCATGGGCAAAGGGGGCAGGGCACAACCCAACACCAGCACACTGCTCTCATGGGGGATGTCAGCCAGACCTCGCAGTGTTTCAAAAGAAAAACAAATTATGTGAAATCTCCTGATTTTTACAGGCTGGCCAACTAATTCAAAATTAAAAAAAAAAAAAAGTCAACCCAGAAGGGCCAAATAAAGCAGCTCTGCGAGCCAGAGCCCACCGACTGGCCCAGTTTGTGCCTCTGACATCCACAAATCACCCAGCAACCTCCCTGGCACCTAGTAGGTGCTCAGCAAACACAGGTCATTTCCATCTTTTCAGGAAACTCTCCAGGCATCATCAACATCCATTTCCACACAACAGCTTGGGAAGGAATGCTTCTCAGGAGGAAAATGAAGATACAAAAAGAAGAGCTGAAAATCTGGAAGGCTCCAAAGGGAGGGAGGAACTGCCAAGGGAATTCCTTAAAAGGATTTAAAAGAATTTTATTGGCCATAGTTTAGCACAAGTCAGGGATAAGATCAGGCAGTAATTTAACTCCTGGGCCCAGCAAGCGAGTCTGTGCCTGTGGGGTGGATGGGGGGTGGGAGGGAGGAATGGTTCTTACCATGGTCTCCACCAGTGTCTCGGGTCCTCTGTCCACAGGTCACCCCAACATCTGCCTCCGACTCACAGCGTTCTGATGGGGACAGCGCCTCCACGGAGGGGCGCATAAGGCCCAGCTGATCCTACACAACAGAAAGCAAGGCTTGAGTCTCCCCACCCTCCCACCCCAGTGGATCTGGTAGCTCACATGAACTTTGAAGTCAGACCCAGCTGGGTTGAGTTTCAAGTCTTCAACATCAGAGGTTCTCAAAGCGTGAGACCAGCAGCGACCCCATCAGCAGCGGCAGCAGCAGGGAACTTGTTTGAAAGGCCCCACCCCAAACCCACTGAAACAAAACCGCTTGTTAAAACCACCTGAGTTTTAACAAGCCCTCCAGTGGATTCTGATGCACGCTAAGGTTGAGAACTCCCGCTCTCCATCTCTATCCTGTGGTCTTCAGCAAGGCCTATGTCTCACTGAGAGGATCAACTCTATCCTATGGGACTGTCCTAAGCATCCCTCCAACAACTATTTCAGAAGCCTGGTCTGTCTGTGCCAGACAGTGTGGAAGATGCCAGGAGGAGAGCACCCAATCCTGGCCCTGGTGGAGCTTGATGGCTAGTGGGGAGACAGATAATATGCAAGGAAAAAAGATATAAACGCCGATTTTCAGAAGGGAGAGGAAGGCAGGGGCCTGATCCACCACATAGAGCTGTGTTTCTCAAAGTGCACTCCAGGGACCACCTGAGCACCAAAGCCCACACAGCCAGGCAGACCTCCTTTCCTACACGCCCCCCAATACTCCTCTCTAGTGTCCCTGCTGCTCCTCAAACACACCTCTCTCTCCTGGGCTTCGGGGCCATTGTCTTTGCGGTTCCACCTACCTGGAAAGCTCTCTTCCCAGATCTTCCAAAGATGGGCTGCTTCTCCTTGCTCAGGGCTCAGTGTAAATGTCGCCTCCCCCTAGGTCTCGCTAAAGCGGTCTCTCCCCTCACTCTGTAGCCCCACCGCCTGCTCGGGCTTCCTCCCTGCCCTTCTCACAGCCTCCCATCTTGCGCCTCAGCGGCTTTGCTGGTTCAGCCTGTCTCCCAACAGAAAGTGAGTTCTTGGGGGCAGCTCCTTGTGGCGGTGGCCTCTGCGGCACGGGTGAGCCGTGACACCCTAACCCTACTCCTCTTCACGCAGTCCCAGAAAGAGCAGCGCTCTCAGCTCCGGAGCCTGCTCCCCACGCCTGAGGAGGAGGCCACAGGCCGGGCTCAGGGCAGGGTTTCTTCACGGCCTTGCTGGGTGCTCTGATGGTGAGAAAGGGCGGTAGAGACTGGAAGGAAAAGAGGAAAACGGGGTGCGAGGCCAGCGACCCTAAAAGGCCGGCTCTGCGGTGGCGCCCTCTCTCGGGCAGAGCCCTCCAAACCAACCCCCAGCAAAGGCGCGACTCCTACCAGTTCCGAGGTGAGGCGTCGCTCTCAGCCGGCTCGGGACCCCAGGACCCGGTCCGAGTGCCCCGCGTCGGCTGGAGGTGCTGGCAGCTGGGCCACGCGGACTCCGGGCTGGTGGCGCACAGGGACTTGGAGGGAAAGGCACCTGGCGCGGCACGTGCTGTCCCTAAGAAGTTGACGCCGCAAGGCGCGTGCAGTCCCTGGCCCGCAGTGGCACGAGGGGCCCAAGGGCAACGGCGCACTCGGACCTCCAGGGAGAAGCACAAGACCGGGCGCGTGGTGCGTGCGGCCCCGCGGCAGCGGAGCGTGGAGCCTTTACGTGGCACGTTGGCGCCTGGGGCAGTGACGCGAGGGGTCCAGGGCCAGCGGGGACTCGAACCTCGGGGGGAAGCACCTGACCCCAGGAGGCTGGCGCGCTGCGGGGCGAGTGCATCCCGAGGGCAGCGGAGCGCGGGGACCACGAGGGCAGGCGGGCGGAGAGGCGCGGGCGGGAGGGCGGGGAAAGGGGAGAGGGCGGCGGCTGGGCGCTCGGCGCGTGCTGTCCGGGCCGGGACTCGGGAAGGCGCCCAGCGGAGCGCTGCACATCCGAGGGCCCGGGCCCAGCCCTGGGCCGCCCGGACGCCTGCGGTCGGCGCCGCGTGGCCTCCGCGCTCCCCGCCGCCGCCCGCGCTCCCCGCCCCGAGCACCGCCCCTCCCTCCGGCCCGCCTCCCGCCCCGCTCCCTCCCTCCCTCGGCGGCTGCCTCGCGGCGCTCCCGGCGCACTCGGAGCCCGGCGGGGACCGGGAGGCAGAGGCTGGTGGCCCTGGGTCCGAGTGCCGGAGCCGAGCGGGGCCTGGGGGCCGAAGTTTGCCGGCGGCTCCGGGAGGTGGCGCGGGTGGCTTCCAGCCCCTGGTCGTGTCCTCGCCGGGACCCGCCGGCGAGCCGCGGCCCGGCCAACTCCGCGGTGGGGACGCTGTGCCGCGAACTTGAGGTGGGAACTTGGCGCGCTGCAGCCTCTCCGAGCACCGCCGGACTGGCGGACTCGGGCTCCGGTAGGGGGAGATGCACGTGGCCGTGGCCCCGGCGCCCCAGAGGGGACCCCGAAAACCACTGAGGGGGGCGGCCGGGACGACAGAGGATCCGGGAGCAGCTGCGGGCGGTGGGGTGGAGCTCGCTCGCCACGGTCATGGTGCGGGTCCAGCTTCTTTTCTTCCCTGGGGTCCCCGGGGTGCTAAGTGACAGGGCAGGAGGGTGGGGGGTACATCCCGGCTGTGGCAGAGGTTTCTCGGCGTCTCGCGGGAGGATCCAGGGAAGAGGGAGTGTTGGGGGGAGGTGGTAGGGGGGCGTCTGTCACTCGCTCATTCACTCCATCCTTAGGCACCGCTCCGAAGGGAGCATCCTGTCAGTGGGCTTTATTGAGTCACTCATTAACGCCACAAGCTTTTATTGAGCGCCCACTGTGTGCTGGGCTCTGGGGACTCCTCAGCCTCCGGGGCTCCCTACCAAGAAGGGGCTCAGCCTGGATGGATTGGAGTCTTCGGATGAGGAAGGAAAAGAGAGAAGTTCATTCATTCATTCATGGATTGGACAAAGATTGGTTGAGCACCTACTACGCACAGCTCACTATGCCAAGTGCCCAACGTTCATAATTTCATTCATTTAACAGTTATTGAGGCACTGTGCTGAGGAGAGAACCGTGAAGGAGAGGGATGGGATGGGGGCAGGAGAGGATGGAAGCCAGCTTGCAGCTTGGAGAACATCCCCCCTCCCCATGTGTGTAGGCAGAATGTCACTGGACAGGTTGCAGAACAGCCTTTCCTTGGTTCGCCTACTGCATTCATTCTCAAGGAGGAGCAGGGGGAGGCTGGAATAGGTTGTTGGATAAGAAGAAAAGGTCTTTAAAAAGCTCTTTAGGGGAGGGTGGTAGTGGGGAGGGGGGCTGAGAAACACTGATCTAACCATACCGATGAAGGGAGGCTCCCACCAATGGGGTGTATTAGTTAAGTTGTCCATTCCGCAGGCATTTTCTTAAGCACTTGCTCTTCTTAAGTACATACAGGGTGCCAGGCACCAAAGTCACCAAGGAGAACGAGACGGACACAGAGACCCCGTTTGCTGACCCCTCAAGACAAATGCAGGGGAGGTGGGAGAAGGGAGCAGGAACTGCTCTGATTCATTGTGTGTGTGTTAAGGGGGAAGGGGCTGCTTCTGACTCTATGAATCTAAGCAGAGGTTTATTCACTAGGGTGTGTTTGATACCCACACACATGACTGCAGTCAGAGTCACTTCAGGGACCCCCCCTCCCCGGGAGCACGTTTCCAAGGCAGATTTGGCACTGCTGGAGCCAGGGGAGGGGCAGGTACCCAGGACGTGCTGGCTTTCTTGAGTGGAGTTCTCAGAACCTGTCAGACCTGAGCTTGACCCTGTGTCCTCTGTCTTGGAGCTCTGCAGAGGCACCTGTCGAACAGGGAGGGAGGGTGTGTCTGAAAGACAGGTGAGGATGGCCCCTGGGGATTGCCCTCACCAGTCATTCCCTAAGCCAGCCCATTCCAGTGGAAAGATGTCTGTCATGGGACCCACTCCAAACCCATGGGGGACTGTGAGTGTGTTAGAAACAAGACAGCCCTGATTCCTGTCCCGAGCCTTGAGAACCCAGGCTGGGGGAGTCCTGGAGTCTGATTGGGGCAGATCTGGGGGCTAAGCTCCTGTCCCACTGCCATTCTGAATTCTCTGCACCAGCCACACAGCCGGGCTGTGGCAAGAGATGAGGGAGATGCCCCAGGGAACAGAAGAGCAGAGAGATGTGTCCTGGATGTAGGACTGAGAGACTCAAACCGAGACTAAGGAATTAACCCCCTGGACCCCTAAAAGGTGTCTTGACTGGGCTGTCTTTTCTCCACATCCCCCTTCGGAATATGTGAGGAAGAGTCAACGTTTCCGGTTGCCAAAGATATAGGGTCTGGGAATCCACTCTTGGTTGGCTCATTAAACCCAGAGATGGAGCCCCTGGGTGGAAAATGGCGGCTGGAGAAGCCACTCTAAAGAGAATTAATATAAAGGGGGAGGCAAGAAAGTCTAGCTGCAAGCACTCAATCCCTGGTGGCCATTTTTGTTCCATAGCAGCCAGTATTTGACTGACAAAGTCAGAACCTGGAGTGAATGTGCTCCAGATAGGATCCAAATGGTGCCTCAGCCCTTCCCCTGCCCTGTGGTCACAGCCTCACACCTGCGTCTCCCTGGGCGGGCGGGCACGCCATGCTCTCCCTCGTTCCTTCCTCCCTTCCCCGCCGCAGCTGACCACGGGCACGCGGCCTCAACACTTGCTAAGGAATAAGAAACGAGGGATTGTTTAAGCCGGTGTCCCCTTCCTGCTGCCCCAAGGTCCTCACGGCTCTCCAAGCCTGTGCCTCTGCTTACGCCTGTGTTCCCAGATTGGGGGGGCTGCAAGGAGGCAAAGAGAAATGGACCTTCCGGCTCCCACCCCAAAGCCCCTCCTGGTAGAAGGCAAACTGTTATTTTGCCAGAAGCGGAGCGGGGAGGCTCCAGAGGCTGCCTGTGTCTGGGGGGAGGGGCGTCTCCGGCATGTTCTCTCTTTGGGGGTGGCGGGGTGGAGGAAAGAGCCCAGCTCCCAGCAAATATCCCCCCCACCCCAGTGACTTGGGCCCCAGCTCGCAGGAAGCAGGGCTGAGGTCCAGCATGGTTGGATTGTAACGAGGGAGGACAGGAGGAAGCCGAGGAAGATGGATCGCCCCACGCGGGCACAGCATCGCACAGAGGTCCAGCATGCCAGGACCTGGGCCAGCCTAATGGCTGGATCTGTTTTGATTAACGTTTTAATTGAGGATTAATGCGGCGTGACCCACCTCTGAGTCAGCCCAGCCAGGAGCCCTAACGTGACCGATGAAGCTGCCCAGGCAGGGGAAGGGCTGCATGGAGAGATCAGTGGGGTGCCCTCGACACCCGATCAGGGTCACGGGATCACACAAGTTGGCAGGTGTGGAGTGGGGTGGGCAGAAAGAAGCCAAAGACCGAGGAGCTCAGGAAACACTTCTTTTTTTTTTTTTTAAGAGAGTTGCATTGCACTTGGTTCATTTCTTACTGCCACCTATTACCACCAATTTAGTGGCCGGAAGCAACAAATTTCTTATCTTACAGTTTGGGGGGATCAGAAGTCCAAGTAGGTCTCATTGGGCTAACATCAAGGGGGCAGCAGAGCTGTGTTCCTTCTGGGGGGAGAATCCGTTTCTGCCTTTCCCAGCTGCTGGAGGCTGCCTGCCTCGGCTCCTGGCTCGCATCATTCCAACCTCTGCTTCTGTCATCACATCCCTTCCTCTGACTCCGATCCTCCTGCCTCCCTCTTATAAGGACCCTTGTGTGACATCGGGCCCACCAGTCGATCCAGGGTCATCTCCCATCTCAAGGCCCTCGGTTCAATCACAGCAGCGTAATCTCTTTTGCCACGTTAGGTAACATACTCACAGGTTCCATCCGGGGCTTGGGACACGGGCATCTTTGGGAGGCCACTGTTCTGCCAAGCACAGGAACGTGCCTCATCAGTTTACATTGCTGACGGGGAAACTGAGGCCCAGCCAAGCGAGTGGCTTGACCTCAGCGCCAGGTGAGATGGAGAGCCGGCCCTGAGGGCCAGCCCTCTGGAAGGCGTTGTCTGCTTCACATTCCAACTCTGAGAGAGGAAATGCAAGGGGAGGAGCGGGCAGGGGAGGTGCCAGGCGTGCTGTGCAGAAGCCATTCTAGCCAGCACAGAGCCCTTCTCATGTGCCAGGCATGGCTCCGAGCACTTAGGAGGAGAGTGCGATGATTACCCCCACTTTACAGCTGAGGACACTCAGGCACGAGAGGTGAAGTTATTTGCAGAAGGCTGCACAGGTGGTGAATGGTGAGCCAGGCAGCGTGGTCCAGAGGCCACACCCTCACCCCTGGCTGGTGCCTGTCTACACCATAGGAGAGTTCTGCCCAGAGACCAAAATGGCAACTGGGAACTTGACGCAAGCAGGAGTTTTGTTGATTTCTTACACTGCTCTTGTGCAAATACGCAGTAGGAATAAAGATGGTTCCCCAGCTATGGGCAGTTGCCTGCTTCTCCCCATCCGCAAAGACTTTTCAAAAGCTTGTGCATAGAAAATAGAGACGAGAGACCCCGTCCCTGGCTTGCTTCTGGTGCTGGACACCCTCTCCACTCCACCAGGAATGAGCAATGCAGGGGCCCAGTAAAATGCAGAGTCAGGGAGGTTTGTTCAGAATCCCACAGACCTAGCTGGAGTCTGGTTTCATCACCAGAGTCATGAGTTTTCACTTCTCAAAGCCTCAATTTCCTCATCTGTAAAATGGGGGTGTTGATAGTAACACCTGCCTCTTAGGGAAGGACGTGGGCTCGCACAGTTAAGGCTCTTCACAGCGCCTGGCGCCTGGTGTGTGATTATGGGAGGCTGTGACGTGTGTTGCTACAGCACTGTGAGTGGTTGGTGCTCTCTCTGCATTCCCCCCTCCTGCTCAGAAGAGGGACAGGCCTAGGACTGGAAGAGTGGAGTCGAGAGAGGACAGCAGTTGGTCAAAACCCTGGAGACCCAAGAGGTGTCTTAGCAGTTGGGATCAGCACATAACAGTTTGTGGAA